GTTTTTCCACCTCGACTCCACATCTAAATAGTTGTTCAGTATTGAGTTTCACACACGGTAGCTCACATACTTTGCATGGCGGTCACGCTTTTGGCTATGATTGAACTGAGCAAGCACAGTTCAAACCATGAAAATCTTTTTTGTTTTGTTTATTTCACCCTGGTCTACTGTAAATCTCGTTGTTGTTTGTGTTACATGTTTTTTTTTTCTCTCCCCAGCAGATGTCCAGCTGCAGCAGACCGCAGTCCAAACAGTGACTGACTGTCTGGAAACCTGCTGGACTGCCCCCTTTGCTTGACCACCACAGACACTATCCACATAAACACACACAAACAAACGGCTACAGTTAAACACCATGAAGTGCGTCCATTTGACCCGGTGTGGCTACTAACTGCTGTGTTTTACACCACAGGGAGAAACGACAAGTGTGTGAGTGCGTGTAAGAGGCAGTGAGAGAGAGATCAAAGTAGTTTCAAGCTCATTCAAAACACCATCATCTTGCCTCCATTATTAACTTTAAATTTGACAAAGTGTTTGTGTTTACATGCTGCTGCTATTATTACTACCTGCACGACAGTCTCGTATTATCATCAATTATCCTTTATATTAGTGGTCACCAATTAGTGGTCTGTAGTCTTCAAACAAAATCCTGATGCCTCTGATTGAAATGAATGATACTTCTGCAGCTAATATGAATAACATCAAAGTAAATCCCCATGTTCATGCAATTATGCACACATTATCGTTGTTAATTTTATGACGATGATATTAACCATATCACACATTTCAATAGAACGCATATGTCTAGTTTACCTCTAGTTTTAATGCTTGTCCTTACTGCAGTATTTATCACAATAACCTTAATTTATTCCATTTCAGGTCATCAAGGAGGTTGAATCATAAGTATTAAGATTTGTCATGACAATACCTACACATGAACACATTAAAGAACAACAGAGGAAAGGCCTGGTTAGGTGCTGGAATCATATTTAGCATGTACAAAAGCATGCAATTATATGCTTTGAATCATGTCCCGTATATACAACATGGAAAATGTAGCAAAGTGTTAAAACCTAATTCTGAAGCAACATTATGAATGACACCAAGTTGGGCTGTTTGTTCATCAGAACCCTGGCAGCCCAGCAGAAACTATCCACCCACCCATCCATCTATTAACCCCTGCTTTCATTCATCTGTACTGTCTTACATCACTGGTTTTGTTGGCTGAGACATTCCATTATTGTCAGAATGAGTGTTGGCATTGTACGTTTCTGCAAGCCATGACATATTACATTTGTATGTAGTTATATTTAATTAGCAGAAATGCTAAAACGTTATGTTTATACAATGCTATGGTTGATGCACGTTTATGTTTAAGTACAAAAAAATGAGGTTTTGGTGAGGAAAAGATCATGTTTTGGCTTAAAATACCCTGGTGTGGTGGGACAATCACAGAATACAGTCGATGACTCACTAAAAAATAACCCATTTTGACGTTTGTTGGTCTTAAACTGTGGTCTGCAGCCTGATTCCTGACTCGCCTAAGTGTCATGCCGTCCACCATTCCTTCTACATCCCGATGACCAAGTTAGCTCATATACATGTAATCAGAACTACATCACTTAAGAAACATTGATATGATGTGGATGAAATGCACAAATGTAACATATCCACAGTTTGCAGAAACATTCAATGCCAACATTTCCTTCTGGCAACTGGGATGGTCATTTAGATGATGGTTTCTCTACTCTCCTCCTGGGAAATCAGTGTGCTGACAACATTCTTAATCAATAGCTTTAATAGCTGGAGTCTTTAATTACTACATCAGCTCTATATATAGAGGCTTAGCCCGAACAGTGAAGCCAATCCTCTAATCAAGGGCAGTTGCCAGCAAATTTGACACATTCCTCAGATTGATAATGAAGCTATCTCAGGCTCCCAGCTATAATCTTGTGTTTGTCACTCAGCTCATATATGTATGTAATCATGATGCCCTTTCTGAGCATACTTTAACGCAGAGGTCACAGATTTCGCCCCCATATGGTTGTGTGTGTCTAAAAAAACATCCCCCAAAAGCTGACAGCCTGGAAAGTTAACAAATTGATCACATCCAGACACCACACTGAATAGGTTACCACTGGATCAACCTCTTTCGCTATTTGCTCATCAATACAATCTGCTTTTCAGTAATCAGTGTATTGCTGGTGGGGATGAGATTGAGGTCAGTGTGGATATTAGAAACACAGATTGGGTAGATAGAAAGACACAGCTGCCAATAAAGTTTTAGACTGATTCCTTTTACAAAACCATTTAGGGGAAAGGCCTGTGTCAGTCTACATTTTTAAACTGGCCACTCAAGGTTGATATATAGTGGTTTTATTTATACCAGTTCCATGTAGCATTAAAACATTTCCCTTTAAAATTTTTACGTAAAAATATTTTTTTATAAGATAAAAGAAAGAGAAATAAAAAAGCGAATTAATGAAAGTGAAAGGTGGATAACAGAGAAGTTTGAAATAGTTTTAAAGAAAGTTTAAGTAGCTGTCATTGTTTTTTTTAAATACTAACAATGTATTAAATGACAATGAGAAAACAATGTAAAGAGTGTCACCAGCAGTGATGAACCTACAGAGTTATCATCTCAATCTGCAGCTTCCCTCGGCTTTACAAAGCTTCAGAGCAAGTTCCAGCTCTTTGTTTAGCTGCCCGACCGCAACGTTATGTGTTCAACGTACTTGTGAAAAGAAGCTTTATGGGTAAGTGTAGTTTCTGAATGAAACAAAGTAGTCCCTGTCCCGGAGGACCGTCTTAGAAAATCCAACCTGCCTTTCCACTCTTTTTACAAGTATTATAGTCAAACATGTCTCAGGCAGCACAAAGCTTTATTTAGGACTAGGAATAACATTTAGCCTGAATCAGCTTCTAGATGGATATCTCTCTGCGTTGTGTCAGAACTCCAGATTAGCCTGCTGGCCTGTTTCAATTTTACTTGCCTTCTTTTTTATAGGGCAGTTTACAGCGGGAAACTCCACACTGACTTTCCTTTTGGTTCAGCTTTTCTTCCTGCTCTCTCTCCTTCTCTTTCTCCCCCTGCCCTCTTCGACCTTCTCTCTTCTTCCTGTCCCTTCCCCCACCCAAACCTTCCCCCACCCTCTTTTATCCCACTCAGGGTAGAAACACACCAAATGCAGGGAGGCCAACCTCCTACACCTCCCACACTTGGTCGCCTGTGCCTGTGGGCAGATTGATCACGCTGTCAATTCAATTTACTGCTGCCTGGACTGTTGTGCCTGTTAATTCCCATAATGATACAGATCAGTTCAGGAGCTGCATCTGATTGTTTGCAATGAAACCATTCAATCGGTAAACAGCAACAGGTACTTGTGGTGCTTGCTGTGGTGGAGCGGTTAGGACGCTGGAATCCATTTAGTTTTTTTTTTTTCATGGTTTGCTCACTGCGCTGCAATGTGTTTACATGTCCTGCACACAGTGAGTGGCTGTGTGTGTAGAGATTCTGTGAGGAGATGCAGAGAGCTCAACCTCACAGCTGCACATTTGGGTGAAAGCTTAAAACCGAATCAGACATAAACACAACTTTCTGTTGTTAACAGAGAACCCCTCGTTCACTCCAGGGTGAGACTGCTTATGTAGAAGAGGAGGTACAATAAAATAAGAAAGAAGAATCGAGATATGGAAAAATGTGCTTAAACCTGCTGCTTTGTTAAAACATGCACATTTTTTCTACAGGCATTAAATCTAAGCAAACTGGCCTGCAAAGATGGGTAATCTGACTTTGCTGTGTTTGCCTAATAATATGCCTGATAATCAGATTTATGTGCTATTGCATTTATCAACATTAGCTATTTAAATTGCTGAAAAACTATTCAGATCCACTGTTTATGTGCTTAATTTATAATTTCCAAAGTTTCATAGGCTTTGTGCTGTCATCATCTCAACAAAAGAAACACAGCAAATTTCTGTGTTTATTCTACATAAACAGATTTGGTACTTGAAAACATTTAAACAGTACAGCAGCAGTACAGTTTGCTTGTTTTTCAATATGAATGAATATTTTATGTTTGTGTCTGGACGTTTACGTGACCCATCCCTCGTGGGACTATTCATACACATCAACCAATAACAAACTAAACATTCCAACATGTTAACCCACCATCCAAATGCACAATACGTAAATATAATTCAGACATAAACACAAACATTATCAGGCAAAAAGATACAAAGCTCCCACAACCAACACTTTGAGAGATATCCCACACCAATAATAACCACAGAAAATTAAATACAAAACAAAAACACAGCTCATGAGTGCAAGACACAGAAAGACAAAATCTAGATTTACATGAATCAGTGCCAAACATTATTTGATTCAGTTCCAATAGTCTGCAGTCCAAACAAAACAGAGTTAGAGGGATCCGTCTTAAATTCCTTTTGTCCTTCTATTCCACGCCCTAAAAAGATAATCAAAGAATGCAAAAACATTATCAAAAAGGTATTAAAGTGAAGCTCCAATCTCCATAACTATCGAATCTTAACAATAATTGTTGTAAATCATGATGTAAAAAGCAGTATGGAATAAAATGAATTTCAGTAAATGCATGAGCATGAACTATTCAGTTAAATTAAGGAAGAGAAATAAACAAGAAAAAAATAATCACAAGATGGTTTTGACAGTTGACAAATGTGTGAAGGTGATGTTATACTGCTGTTTGTGGAATATATATGTTTTTTCTTTGTTATAAAAATTGTAAGAAAAGTAGGCAAATACATTTTATGCATCATCAATGCTTCTATGAAAACGCATCTTCAGGCAAATTATTTTGAAAACCTAACCAGAAAATAATTATTTCTGTAAAACCTCTGGTGTAATGTAATTACTGTAACACATTTTCCTTCTATAGGGAGCAGGGACCAATCAAGAACGAGTCCTATAGGAAAACAAACGCTGGGATTGGCTGAGACGCGGCCTCGGTTTCAAGGCGCCCTGCGTTCTGTCGGAGGGTCTTGTGAATGGAGGGGGCGCCTTGAAACCGGTGGAATCTGCACGGAGTGAGGAGAGCGAGCCTCTGGACTTCCAACCGCTCAGCATGTGAACCGACGCTCTGTGTGAAGTCAAGTCGAAAAACGATGGAAATATAGGACTTTTTAAGTTTTAAACGTTTCTTATTTTGCGCCAAACTAACAACGCTCAAGTGTTAGACGTCCTGGAGTAACTTGGGTTTGCATTGCTTTAAGAAAATGGGACTTTAAGTGTTATTTTCACCGGGTCGGGAGTGAGAGTGGGCTGCTTGGAGTCACTTACAAAGACCATCAAGAAGTCATGACACGACGAACGTTTCATTTGGATTTATCTTCATAAAACACGAGGAAAAGACGACTGGGACAATTTCGACTCGAAATACTCGGACTACAAGATAAGTGCTGCGACAATTAATGTAGCTTTTCTTTGCTTTTTAACCGTTTTCAAGTCGCCCTACTTGGATCAAAGTTTTTCCTTCCCTCCCCCCTCCTCCTCAACTATGGCGGCGGCCAGGTCCACCACTGGCTCCGTGTTGCTGCGGATCATGTGGCTTGTGTGCGGGCTCTCTTTCTCATTTACTTCTGCTCAACATTACAACAGTGAGAGTGGAATATCTGTACCAGAACACGGGTTCTGCCAGCCCATCTCCATCCCGCTCTGCACAGACATCGCCTACAACCAGACCATTATGCCGAACCTCCTGGGCCACACGAACCAGGAGGACGCCGGACTGGAGGTGCACCAGTTCTACCCCCTGGTTAAGGTCCAGTGCTCTGCGGAACTTAAGTTCTTCCTCTGCTCCATGTATGCACCAGTCTGCACAGTGCTGGAGCAGGCCATCCCCCCATGTCGGTCCCTGTGTGAGCGTGCACGACAAGGATGTGAAGCCCTCATGAATAAATTCGGCTTCCAGTGGCCGGAGCGCCTCCGCTGCGAGGCTTTCCCCGTCCACGGAGCAGGCGAGATCTGCGTGGGCCAGAATACATCCGAACCCAGCAGCCCGGCCTCCTCGTCTTCCCCCAATGCACCCAATTATGTGACCCCTCCCCCAAATGTTGCCCGACCCAACCAACGCCCGCCGCATCACAACCAGTACCACCAGTTCTCCTGCCCTCTGCAGCTGGAGGTGCCAACTTACCTGGGCTACCGCTTCATGGGGGTCAATGACTGCGGAGCCCCATGTGAGCCCACTAAACCCACCGGCATCATGTATTTCCGAGAGGATGAGGTGAAATTCGGCCGGCTGTGGGTTGGGATCTGGTCCATCCTGTGCTGTGTGAGCACCTTATTCACAGTGCTCACCTATCTAGTGGACATGAGGCGGTTCAGGTACCCCGAGAGGCCCATCATCTTCTTATCTGGGTGTTACTTCATGGTGGCTGTAGCTTATGCTGCTGGATTTTTCCTGGAGGACAAAGTTGTTTGTGCTCAGTTAAAGGAGGAAGGCTACAGGACAGTGGTTCAGGGGACTAAAAAGGAGGGGTGCACCATCCTCTTCATGGTGTTGTACTTTTTTGGTATGGCCAGCTCCATCTGGTGGGTGATTTTGTCCCTGACGTGGTTCCTCTCCGCCGGGATGAAATGGGGCCATGAGGCAATCGAAGCCAACTCCCAGTACTTCCACCTGGCCGCATGGGCTGTCCCGGCCATCAAAACCATCACCATCCTCGCCATGGGCCAGGTGGATGGCGACGTCCTGACCGGGGTGTGTTTCGTGGGCATCTTCAACGTGGACGCCCTCCGCGGCTTCGTCCTGGCTCCGCTGTTTGTCTACCTGTTCATCGGCACGTCCTTCCTCCTGGCCGGCTTTGTGTCCCTCTTTCGGATCCGCACCATCATGAAGCACGACGGCACCAAGACGGAGAAGCTGGAGAAGCTGATGGTGCGGATCGGTGTGTTCAGTGTGCTTTACACGGTACCGGCCACCATAGTGATCGCCTGTTACTTCTACGAGCAGGCCTTCAGGGAGCACTGGCAGCTGACCTGGCACATGCAGACCTGTAAGCGCTTCGCAGTGCCCTGCCCGGTCCACAACTTCGCCCCCATGACCCCCGACTTCACCGTGTTTATGATCAAGTACCTGATGACCATGATAGTCGGGATCACCTCGGGTTTCTGGGTCTGGTCCGGGAAGACTCTTCAATCATGGCGGCGGTTCTACAAGCGCCTTAGCAACGGTAACCATGGAGAGACAACGGTGTAAAGTTTCAAGGAAGAGAAGTTACAAAGCCACGGAGTTTTGGATATTACAACCATGTACATGAGGTCAAATAGCTTTCATTTTTAATACTATTTTTGGACATATTTTTTGATGTGTTTTCTGGTTGTGACAGCAGTTCAGGCTTTTGGATACACAACCAAACTGATCTATATTCAATAGAAGTCGGATGAATTTTTTGATATATTTCAGTTTTTTTGTCATCATCAGACAGCTCACACTACTGGCCTTTTGCATCTTTGGATTATTAACTGGTGAAAATTGCCATACTGGTCCCTGGACTGCTATGCCAGATTGCTGAGGTTACCTTTTAATATAAAAACTTCCTACATATTATTGTTTATATCCCTAATATCTCAAATTGAATGTACTTCCCGTCTACCCTGATGAGAGCTTGTCAGTGGAAAACACCATAACAGAAAAGACTGTTGGGTCAAGCAGTGTGGCCTTCTGTCCACGCTGCAACAAAGGGGTCAGAGGTTTGATTCCTTCAGCCGCCACACCCTCTGACTGTGAATTCATACATTAGAGATGCCTGCATTATACATGTAAATTTTAAGTTACTCTGCTTTTAGCTAAAGACTGAAATGCTTTCTTATGTGTGTTAGATATTGCAGAGTACAATCTCGCCTGTTTTCATCAAAAAGAAAGTCCATAAACATGTGACTCCATGCCATTATGTGCCAAGTGGCTGCCCAGAAATCAAAACTTTAATTTTTAAACTTTATTTTTCACTTTTACTGTTGAGTATTTGCTCCTGTAATTGAATGTTCACTCCGAAGGTGATTGAAGTTATGTATTGGTTTGCACAGCTAGTGTAAAGGTTAATAGTGTTAAAAATGACTGAGTCACCACAGGATGACCTGGATCTAACAGTTAAGGAGACCACACACACACACACACACACACATACACACATGTGCCTCCTCTCTGCAGTGAAGACACAACAGCTCATTGTTTGTCTCCGTGTGTGGTCTCTCAACTGTAGGACCCCCCCCCCCCCCAATCAAAAAGACTTCTAAGCTTTTAAGACATCCAAAGCACCATTTCAAGGATCCAGATTTAATCCATACCGGGTGGAAATGGTTGCTCAGGATTTTTGATGTTATTTTATCCTGGATAATGATGACTGTACACATTCACGCATGTACTCTTCACAGTGTAACTGAACCTGCCTTAAATGTTACGTGGTTTCACTAGAGGACGAACATTTTTGACTTTTTAATCATTCATTATTTTAGTCTCTGGGATACCTTGTGGGACCCTTCAAAACACAGTAAAAACTGCATTTATTTTCTCTGTGTGTAGAAACAGGACTTATGTTTAATGTTCTAAATTATGGCAATATCAGGAAGGTCAAAAGTCAACCTTAGATTATTTTTTTTTGGGTAGAGAGCAATGGAGAAACACTGCAGTGTTTAGCAAAGGTGGAGTGTTTTATCTGGGACCAAATCACTGGAGACATTACAGCAATTTATTTTTTAACTGTCAACTAAATGTGCCTATCATTAAAATATAACAATACAGGGAGCATTTCAGTATTGAGGCCGTTCATTTATTTTCAGAAACTGAAGTCGTTTTTGAAATTTTAGTGACAACTTAACACTCAAATTCAAGTGAGAAAACACTAAAATCAGAGCAAAAATGGCCAACTTAAACATTAGTGAATACATTATTGATAACAATAGCATCAACGTAAAATGGCAACCAGTGATTTAGTCCCACTAGTAATCCTGTGCTGCATGCAGAACGCTGTCTTGAACTAAAGCAACAAACCACAGTTTATTTCTCTTGACTATATAATACAATCAGTAGGAGATCTTGCGGGGAAATCTGAGCAGGAAAGCGTGTTGTTATCCCGACTGAGTCAGCTGCAAGGCATCATATGTTCGACAGAAGATTTTGTTTCCTGTCACAGAGCACATTTTCCCTCCATACATCACATGTAAATGAAAATGGTAACACCCTGCAGAAATGCAGGTAAACTCACATTATGGCCTTATAGACCTGGTATTCTACTTTTTTTAAATCTCTTAAGATGTGTCCTGGATCCACACATACTTATTGTAGAAAATACACGCTAAGCGCACCAATCTTCATAGTATACTGTTAAAGCAGTTTATTTACGAGAAGTGTCACATTTCCTGTGTAAATGTACCACATACCTCAAACCCTTGTTGAAATGAGTACGTTGGATTGAATTAGGAAACAGGTCAACACTCCACAAAACATCTTGTGTCCATGTTTAAACCTAACAAGGCAAAAGTATTCTGTGTAATTGCCTTCAGGCAGCTGAGATCTGCCAGCGTCAATGACACCAGACTGATTTGTTTGTCTTGTACGAAGGTTTCAGAAGGATTATGAGTGTGGGTTTTTTTTTTGTTACTGGGGCATAAGCAACCTACCAAGTACACACATACTCTGTTTTGTAAAGGCATTATGTATTTATGGGGATACTCATTTTGTCTTTTTTACTTGTTTTTTTTTCTAATGAGATAAGCCTGTTGTATGTGTACAGTTTGAATAAAATCGCTAAGATTTGTAATGCATTGATCCCTGTCGTTTGTGTTAAGAGGTGAACTCATGTGCATGTTAAGCAACACCATTAATCCTTGACCTAAGAAACTGCAGTTGACAAAACAGTCTCAATCTCAGAGTAAGTAGACCTTGACTTCAGATTGTTTTGTCAACACATGCATGGTATTTATTGTTAAATCACACACCACCTAAACTGAGTTTGGCCCTTATTGCTTTCACTTCCCACCTAAACTCTTTGGCACGCCAGTGAAAATACTCATCATTCACAGACAAGACACATGACTTTGTAGACATTACCAGCGACACACAGGCAACATTGTGATGCTGCTTAGCTGGACATTTGGCTAATAAGTGAACACGACAAGTCCTACAATCCAAAACGTTATTTATAAGAACTTGATGTGCCTCATTACTTGCACTGTTTTTCAGAATTTTTGTGTTGACTGCAGCAACGTGGGCAGCTTAAATGAAACAATAACAAGTTATTCTGTATAAATATGAATACAGTTAATATAGGCAAACTAAACATAGTGTTTAGTCTGTGTTGCTTGTTCTTGTTCACCAAAATCACTCAATGTTCAAACAGCAACATAACAGAATAGATCTTGATAATAGTGGGGCTGATTACCTGTCGAACATCTGTTACTTGATGAAAATTCAGCATACCAACATGTTGTAAATGAATAAATATACCAGCATTAAACAACAGGGTTTGTTTGTATTCTGCCACACATCTGTAAAAGTCTCCTGCCACTTTCCTGAACATGTTATATTAGTTTGTGATACTGCAGCATCCTCTACAGTCAGACAGAACTACACAAATAAAGTCTTGGGATTGAAAAAGAGGATAAATGGCTGTTGATGTTGACTAGAAGGAAAGGAGCAGGACTGAGACCAGAGCTGATGCTGCTGTCTGGGTTTTTAGTGAAGCAGCAGGAGACCACTAATGTATAAATCTAATAATAATAACTTTATCCACTGGTTGCACATGGCTAATAGTAGTTAACATTGATTACTTAAGCTAATGCTCTGCTCTTCTGTGGACCTTATATGGATGATCCAGTTTTGTAATGCAATAGCACCACCTGGTGATATAAATGAGTACTGCAGTGATTGCCTTCTGTACCCATAGTTTCTAACCCAATCCAGCTGATTAACTCTGACTGACAAGAATTGTAACCATTGAAATAAAACTGAAAAGATGAAAAGATAGACAGTTTAAAAAGCATCAAAACTGATGCCGCAAAACCAGAGATATTGGCTTTTTTTCTATGGTGGGTACCTCCTTGTCAAAACCCAACAGAGACATTACCCACAATGCAACTTGACCACTGACAGTTAGCCTTTTCATACATCCATGGGAACACATTCTCACTCCGACTCGTCACACATTGATATTTGGTCACGGACTTTCCATGTCATGAAAACGTACCCTGGGTGCATTGGTTGTTGACGTTTTGGGACACCGTGTCAAGTTCTGCCTATTACATGCATTTTGTTCTTTCAAAATACACTTCAGTTTTCCCAGGAAATTTCATGTTTACATACAGATTTTTTTAAAATAAACCATGGCAAATTTATGTTTTTTTTTCCCTTCAACAACACACACACATTTGGGTTAAGGCAACAAAAGCCCGTGGTAAGGTTTAGGGAAAAGAACAGGGTTTTGCTTTAGAATCTTAGGAGATGTGAACATTGCTCTCTTGTTTGGACTCACCCACCACCCCACCCCATTTGGACTTTTGCCGCCTTAACTTTCATTCTTGTCCCACCAGTTTCCTCCTGATGCCGCCGGGTGACGTTAAACTATAATGGCAACCGGCAGCATATCATGCTGACGTTAAAGGACGCCTTTTTTCATTTGTTTCTGACACCGCAAGTCACTGCCCAAGCGCTGGATTTCAAAGACTAAATGGAACTGGTGAGCTTATGTTTAAGTTGTGTCCATGTTCAGTGGTGAAATGGGAGCTCTCAGGAAATTTCTACTTGCGAGGTCATGAATACTACACTGGGGGTGACTCATGGATGTATCACACAGTGTTGGAGGCAGGACTTTGTTCAGAGTTGCTCAGTTGCACATGGGGCTGGTATATTGTTGATCACATTGACTCTCAATAACAAATGTACTATTTGGTATCTACAGTGACGATACGGGAAAAACTTAAAGGTCCTGTGTTTACGTTTTTATATGTAGGCAAATCATTTTTCATCGCTAATGGGTAAACAGATTGTAACCTAACTTAAAAAACTGAGACCTCTCCCAACTTTCTTGGTTGCCTTTAATAACAGCCTGTGGACTGACTTCTATATAAAGAGCTTGACCTGAATTTTCTGATTCACAACTGAGAAATGGAGTCCACCAATGTCCACAAATGACTGGCACCTACCACAACACAGAGTCCATGTGCTGTTTTACCGTTATATACATTTTGCAGTGGCAGACCGGAAACTGATCTTTACTCACTGCAGAAGTTTGCACTGGCTGAATTTGAGTTGTTACAGCCACTTGCTGAGGGTCTGTCTCTGAAGCTGCTGTCTGCATTCCTCTGGAATAAGTAATCTCTGAGTTGCAGGGATTAAAGTGAAAGGACAGCGAGGTACGCTAGATAATTTTTGTCTCATTTGTGGTCTGATAAACAGTAAATTCATCAAATTCAGTGCCCCCCGATACTGAAAAAAATCCCAGAGGAAACACTGACGTGAAAAATGTTGCAATTTTGTGGTATTAGCTGGCTAATGTTGGCTAGCATTGGCTCACTTTCTAATGTGGATGAATTGCTAGCTAGCAAATTAAAAAAACAACAACACTATATTGAGTGAATAAAATAAATTACTTTATCAGCTACAAAGAAACCAATGCCAGATCCATGCGGTGTAGCTAAGTCACAGCTAGCTTGGTGGCCAGTGATTGTAATCTAACCCTAAGAATAACCATCTAGCTGTAAAGCTATACTACATGGATCTGCTATTGGTTGCTTTGTGACATCAGCTGATAAAATAATTTGCACATGGCAAGCTAGTTAGTATCATGGAGCCAGTAGTCCAAATGAAATATAGAAATATACAGATAATAACATTATTTATATGATTGTTTTTTCCAGTATTCCATCAATATGATGCCGGTCAGTCATGACTAGTCTTGTTAGTCACTGTTGTGGCTGATGCAGGTGCTTGCTTGCAGCTATAGAGGATGCTGACTGCAGTTAATTTAATGGCCCTGGAGAGGACTGTCAGTGAAAACGAGCCTTTTCTGAGAGTTGTATGCAGAACTGTTAAGTAAATGCATATGCAGTTTTGATCATCTGGTAGAAGTGCATCAATGCAATGGTGAAAAACTGCAATGATGATATGACCTCTGGTGGCCACAACTAGAAATGCATAGCCTACAATAGTCTGTTGACCTGCTTTTAGCAAGCCTGATTTGACTTTATAGTACTCAGTTTGTGACATGGATATTGTCAAATGCATTCCCCTTTTAAATCAGAACAGATTTTCTTCAAGTTTCAGGAACCACGTCATGCCTCTACAGCTACATGGGGTTGTAGCTGTTGGGGGTGTTACAGTATTTCAATTTTAAGCAGATGACACAAAGTGTAGTGGCCTATGATACTATCCTATAAAAAGTATTAGCATTTTGTTACTATGTTAATGGATTGTATTTTGTCACCCTAATGTGTTTAGATTTGCAAATATGACAGATTTCCTTTGCAAGACAAGAGTGGTGCGGCTGAAACTCCAGAGAAGGCCTTTCATTGTGTTTCCACCTCAAGACTGGATTAAGAGTTATAATTATAGAAATAGAGTGGCAGTAGAATTGACTATTTCTATTTCTACAATTATAGTTTATGATCTAACCTTCAGATCTATATCAAAGCATGAAAATTACACATGGATTTCAGTGTGAGTTGCAATGACATGTTCCCATCATCTTTCAGGAAAGCTGAAATTTAGCCACCAACATTTTGGCCTATGTTGATAAGCGTTTCAGTGCAGTTCTGTGCTGCTGCCAGCTACAAATACTTTGTTCTGTGCTATTTTTTTATCACTACAGGTAAACAAATCTACTTATTCAACAGCTCTGTGGTTGTAGGCCTCTTTCTGTGGGCATTAAATGTGACCAAGCATCACAATAGACATACTATGGCACTAAAGTAGTAGCATGTAGTAGTTTAAAAGCAGCTTTAGAAGTTTCTGAGCACTGGTAGAGCAATGTATACTGCTGTCTGGCACAGTGTAATTTTTGACACTGGCACTTGGGGTCACCAAAGTCTGATTTTCAAATCCTTGTGCTATGAGTCACATTTTGTCAGAAGAGGTAAAGTATTAAGTTAAGAAGAGGTTTACTCTGAGAAATTGATGTTAATTGATGCTAAAACCATTGCTGCACCAAAATTCATAGTAAATTTGCATATTTTTTATTCACTTCACTTTCCTAAAATGACTTAAATTTACTGTAATAATATTGTAATCAATACACATTGTTCTGTGTTTGGCTGATGCATTATTTTTTAGTTTTACTCAAAGTTAGCCATTGGAGGAGTTAAGGATAAAGCAGAAGATCAACATCATTAATCCAATTCTCTGCAACTAAACAACATCCTCATATCACAAAAACTGCTTTGCATCTATTTGTAAGTTTTGCCCAGATGTGTGCAACTTTCTACATCATTTTTGTGCATAGATTTTAAACCAAGATCTCTTCTAACATGAAGACAATGTTTTCTATCAAACAAAAAATCTTTTACATGACTGCCTTATTTTCGGTAGATAAAATCCGTACATAAAGGGCGTGATCATTGGTTGAAAAATGAGGAGATATACAGATAAAATAATGCGCACTTTATCTGGTAGTAGGACCACATCAAACCTGGAATCCACAAAGTGAAACATGGTGCCGACAAACATATTTGACAATGAAATAATCTGAGGCGTGCAGGTGGTGATGGCTTTTTGCTTGTTTTCTGCAGATGTAGTCAGACAAACATTCAAAATCTTAATGTACGAGACTGAA